GGGGGGGGGGGGGGGGGGGGGGGGGGGGGGGGGGGGGGGGGGGGGGGGCGGAGATACGGAATTCCTTAACAACAGCAGCAGCTGATACACTTGAAGGAAGACTGTCCGAGACAAGAGGCGGCGAGGAAACAAAAGAAGAGCCAAAGATCCACAAGAACGGTCTTCACATCGAAGTTGCATGCAATTCTGTTAGATATCTTCCAGCATCTATAAAAACGTCAAGGTCTTAAACTTAAATACCTCTTCAAGAGGAAGGCGCTTCTGCGGCTCCTTCCGGAGGAGCTTGGTGACCAGATCCTTCGCCTCGTCACTGACGTTCTGCCCAATCCGATCATTGATGCATGGGTGGCTACGTTACGTAGAAGCCACCGCCGTTTGCCTCCGTGGACATCGAACATCACAACCAGTGGTTGCTTCACGACAGTTGTACATTTTGCTTGTAGACAGTCAACCACACGCTGATTTTTCGAAAAGATGTGCCGGTGAGGCGCCCTCTCAGAATAATAAAAAAAGAAACGGCAACATACGTATCACTTCATGAATCACCAGGTACCGTCAAGCCATTTTGTAAAATTATCACTCCGTCACTTCATAGGTTCGTCTTTCGCACTACAATGCCATACCAACAGTTACAACGGATTGTCGAGGGGGTACATAAAAAGGCAGAGCAGAGCTTTGAGAATCGTTTTCAGGAGACAACGGCCAGAGAAACAAGCTGAAAACTCGCCACGTCGCTACCCCTCTGCCCCTGCTGCAGACAACCACAGAGGCACTTCAACCAGGTAGCGATCACAGAAGACAGCCAACGCGCAGTGCCCACAAAAACAAGCGAAAAAAAAACAAAAAATCAACACCGAGATTCTTCAGCGAACACCCACCAGCGCGCTTGGCCAACGAATGTCCACCCTCGAGATGCGGCGGTAGGTGGCTTGGTGACCCTCTGCCTCAAAGGGAGGCACGCCGACGATGAACTCGTAGGCGAGAACCCCCAGGGACCAGATGTCCGTGGAGCTGTCGTGCTCCCTCCCCTGCCACAGTACGGCAAAAAAATAGAGGAAGACACGAAAGAAATAAGACCACCGACGACGACGCAGGCGGGTGGCCGCAGGCGCTACGCTTTGTTTGGATTGGTGGTGCTAGAGAGAAAGGCGCGGTCGAATGCAACACAATGCACACTCTTAGCTGAAGGCCTTGAGTGTGGGTGAGTGCGCATGCACCGGATTGCTGAGTGAATGTACGTTGAGGTCAGAGAGAAAGCGGGCATAGCATGATCTCACCATACCCGTTTCCGCGGACAAGGCGACAAGACCAAGACACGAGCCCGCTAGAAGCACATCTTCAAAATGTCAAGCACAGCAGTACAGGGGGCACGCGTCCTTGACGCACCGCAATGTAGATGTTGCCAAGAGGCACAAAAAAGCAAAAAGGACGGTCAACAAAAAAAAAAAAAACATGCTCAACGAGGAGAACATTGGATCAGTCGTGCATGCCGCTTATTTCCGTTCACCGCAGCAGGACAGACCAACAGAGGCCAGTCAGTGCAACGGGAGACAGCACTCAAGGTATGGCCTCTCGATACGTCTAACTACCGAGCGACAGCCGTGCCATTTTTTGTCCGTGGAACCAAGTACGTCGACCGTAAGGGCGACGAGAAGATTCAAGACAGGCGACATGACGAAGAAGACACCAAGTCACCTCGATCATCTCTGGGGGAAGGTAATCCAGGGTGCCGCACAAAGTGTTGCGCCGCGAGTTGGGGGCGTGGACGCTCCACCCGAAATCGGCGAGCTTCAGTCCCCCGGTCGAACCAATGAGAAGGTTCTCGGGCTGTAGGAATGAACGGCAATGGGGACGGGCACGCAAATCGGTTCCGTCAACAAGCGTGGCAGCATCAACGAACAGTGCACGTGAATGTGGTTCGGCACGGGGCACTCATGACAAAGCCGTGCATGCCGTATTTAGTCTTTCTCCGTCTCAAGCCGGGACGGTGGTTCTCGTCGATCAGGCTCGCATGTAGCATCAAACACGAAGGTCCTTGACGTGAGTCGCAGGAAGAGCAAGCTACATTCTACTCGTGTTATTGCCCCGAGTCCCAATTTTTACTTCCCGGGTGGGGATAAGCCAAAAGTACGATATAGGGTTAGGGTAGGATGCTTCCCAGAGCGCAAGTTCTTGCTGCCAAGTTCTTCAAAATTCTGTCGCTCTTGAGCCGGAATTACTCAACTTTCAGGTTCTGAAGTCGGCACGCGTTCTGTTTGCTAGGCCAGGGGTGGATCATGGTGTCGACAAATTTCTCTGAGTTGCGTTTCGTCCTACGCATGGCACCCTCTCTGGCAGCACCACAATGCATACATGCAGACAGACGCGCTTGCCACTCTTGTATTGTTGTACCTTGAGGTCTCTGTGGATGACGTTCTTCTTGTGGCAGTGGGCCAGGGCCTGAGCAACGTCCAGCACGTACCGGGCCCCCTTGGCCTCGCTGAATCGGCCCTTCTGCAAAGTCTTGTACAGCTCTCCCCCCGGGGCGAACTCAAGGATGAGGTAGATCCGCTTCTCGTCGTAGAAGTAGCCGAACAATCGCAAGATATTCCGATGCCTGAAGACAACGATTAGGGGGCCCGGGGGTCCGGGGTAGGGTAGACAAAAGCGCAAGAGAGGCAGAGAGAGAGAGAGAGAGAGAGAGAGAGAGAGAG